GGCACTGCATTTCTGATGCGAGACGGGTTGATATTATTGTCGATTGACAGGAATGCAGAGCTGGTGGATGAGATTCGCCTACAGGCTGCACTTAGAAAGAAGAATTTTATCATGTGGCAGATATATGCAAGAAGCGATGTTGCCCAGAACATCCCGATAATTCTCGGTATGCGATATATGGATGGAATTAGATGATAAAGCTCTGCAAAAGTGATTTGAAGAATACGCTTGGATGATAAGGCCGTGCAACTTCAAAAAGTCTCGAGGGAATGAGGGCGATTGGCCCAGTGGTAAGTGCGAGGCGTTATGAAAATGGCTCGTCAGCAAGCACGACAGTGTTATGGAGCAATATGTGATGATGACGATGGCAATAATGCAATGCTGGAATCGAGCTCAGCCCCAGCATGCAGCGAGGCCAGTGAGGATGGAACGAGTGCATCACCAAGAGGGAAACGGTGACCCAATGACTTAGCCGTCCTTCCTGAAAATGCTGAAGGCAAGTGGTTGAAGAGTAATTTCGACGTTCCAGTGTGGATTTTTATTTTATAGAGTTTGTTTTCATTAACACTATTGGGAAGTTTCGTCTGTATCTTCTGTGGCCGGTTTCGTTTACGTAAGTGTTACTTTCTAGGTTGGAGGAGCTGGTGTAGGGGAGGGCGGAAGGGAGTGAGGGGAAGGAAGTGGGGAAATACACATTTGTGTCGGCGAATTTTCCGGGGTGCTGCATTTCTAATGCAGAGGGAGCTGGAAGCAACGAATGACGAGTCAAATGTTGTTCGCTTTCAAGCAAAGCGCACCCTGCAAATGCAGGACGAAGGAAATCCTGTGATACAGGCTTGTACGGTGCGCTGTTGTCCTTCTAGACATGCCCGCTACAGCTACCGAGGATGCGGCATGTCAACTGGAGAAGCTTGGAAGATGAAGCGATGATGTTCGGGAAGATTCGTCAGCAGAACAATATAGTGCGGTCAATATTGTGTACGAAATTTTGGAATGATGGAGAAAGAGGATGGCCAAGACAGAGGATTCCAGTGAACTGCTCCGACCGTATATTAGCATTACGGGTTTTGCCGTATGAAAACAGTGGTAGATGTCCACAATCCACTAAGCTGTCTAGGTGGACAATACAGCGATTTGAACATGATAAATGTTCTGCGGTGTGGACAGTACGGCAATGGCCAGGGATAAGTTACCTTTATTTAAATAGTACTGTTTCCGCGTATTAAGTAGAAGATTCGAGTACTTCGGTGGCATAAGCAGTCGTTCTAGAGTTAATTAATTTTTGTTTTCTGTTGAAACAATTGAGTGACCAATAGTATGACTTAACTATCATTATGGCCAGTTATCTTCTATTTATTACCATAATTTAATTAACACTGTAAATTAAGCCCTAATCGTACATCTTTTAATGTTCTGTTTTTTGGTTGCCTCGTTTCTTTTTTTCGACTATTTCTCTTAGTTGAGTTCTGCTTAGTTAGATCCGATTTTATAGGTAATTTAAGAAAAAAAAAAATTGAGGAAAAAGACCTGTTGGTTCAGGCCACATGTTATTTATGCTAATGGAAGTAGATTAAATGGGTGACTTGTGTTAAGGTCACAGTAAATCGCGCCTCTGATAGTCGAGCAGTACAGCCATCGACGGCATTGGAAGGCAGGAAGAGGTGGAAGGGAGGAAGACCTCAGCATATATCTGTTACAAGTAGTATAAGATTTTTATCCTCATTTATATGGTGTTTTTTATATAGAGAGTTTTTGGTCTGTAGGAATTTGGTGTAGTATAGGAATTATTTAGTGTAGTAGGGAGTGTACGATGTTTTTATAGTATTTTTTTGGTGTAAAAATTTGCATCAACAG